GCAGGCAGGCAGGCAGCAGCGCTTGCCGAGTCAATGGCATAGATGCCTGGCGAACCGCCATCCTCAGGCTTCCGGGGCAGCGCGCGCAGCCACGCCTGCAGGCAGGGCAGGGCATCAGGGCAGATGAGGCTGCAGCAGCCGAGGAGCCACGATGTGGTGCCTGCTTCAACGTGGGCCCTTTCGTTTGCCTGGCAGCTTCAACCAAATACTGCCGCATTCTGACCCAAGCCCCACCAAGGCAGGCAGGCAGGCAGGCAGAAAAAAGCTCACCTGGTGCCGCAGCACGGCATGCACGGCTCGCCACGGCAGCCACAGCAGGCTGCCATCCGGCAGCTGAAGGGAGCAGGTGATGGGCGAGCCTGCTGGCCGCACCAGGCCCAGCCCAGCAAGCAGGCTGCCGAGGCCCTGCTCCCCCTGCTGCACCTGCTGCAGCGGCACGGGTCGCTGCTCCTCCCAGCCGCTGGCATCAATGTGACTGCCAGCGTCCGGTGCACCTGCCGCCGGGGACGGCGCGTGGTGTGGCAGCCCACCAGCAGCAGGCGCAGCAGCAGGCGCCGCCGCTGCCGTGCCCCTGCTGCTCCCACCCTTGCCGCGGGCTGGCCGGCGGCTGCCAGCTGCGGAGGCCGCCGGCCCTGCGGCCCCCTCTGCCTCCTCGCTGCTGCTGGTCTCCACCGCCTGGGAAGGAACGCGCTGGCCGCGGCCTGCAGCGTCGCCCCGCCCTCGCCCTGGCTCCAGCCTGGTCTGCCCGCCGCCGTTGGAGTTGGCAGGGGCAGAGGAGGGCAGCCGCAGCTGCTGCAGCTCCCTCGCCATGAGCTCCAGCTCCGTCTCCAGCAGCGCATTCCTGGCCGCCAGCTGAGGCTGCTGCGCCTCCAGCGCTGCCAGGCGCTGCCGCAGCTCCTGCAGCTCAGGCTGCGGGTGCAGCCCTGGCGCACCCGCCTCACCCTCCTGCTGCTGCTCCTGCTGCTGCTGCTGCTGCACGGGCGGCTCCCAGCACGCGCACATTGCTGCGCGAGCAGCGGGGTTCCTCTCCTCAATCCCCGCCAGCCACAGGGCCCTTGCCACCGCCAGAGCCTCGTCCGTGCTGCTGGCATTGGCCAGGTCACTCAGGCTGGGGAAGGCCGCCAACGCCTGCACTTGGCAGAGGGCCACATCCAGAGGGAGAGCAGAAGCGAGGCGGCGGCGCTTCGGGGCTGGCTTGGTTGATCCGGGATCATGCATGTACTGCACTTGTGCCACTGAGCACTGCTGGGGCAGAGGGCTACGCCCGCCTGCCCTGCCTCACCGCCAGGCCTGCGGAGTCGCCCTGCACCTGCTCCTCCTCCTCGTCTGCCGCCGGCTGAGCCGCGATGGCCGTCTGGCAGAGCTTCATCTGCAGGCAGACGGCAGGGCAAACAGCAGGGGGTGGCTGTGGGCTCTGCCGGACCGGAAGCACTGCCCTTGGGGGGATTGCGCTTAGGGCGGCAGGGGCCAGGGCTGGCAGGGCGTGGCAGCAAGGGGGGCATGCGTGGACAGCAGGCAGGGAGTGTAGCAGGTGGGGTCGAGTGGGGAGTATGCTTTGCCCACCTGGTCCAGCCTCTGCTGCACCTCGGGCGGCACCTGCTCGCCCAGCCTCTTGGCCAGGACGGCAGCCTGCTCTGCCGCGGCGCCGTGGTGGGCGAGGATGTAGTCGAGGGCCGGCCTGCAGCCGTCCAGGGCTTCCAGGGACTCGGGCAGCAGCAGGAAGCTGCGGCACGCGCCTGCAATGTACATCGCCAGCAACGGGCAGATGGTGCCTGCAGGCGGGAGGGAAGCGGGGCGCTTGAGGAAAGGGTGTTGTGGCAGGGTGTCCGGTTGGACGGATGCCTCCCGCCTCTTCATTGCTGACAGCTTCCCGCTGAAGCTTCGCTCCGCCAAGTCAGGGCCCTCCCGCCTTCCAGCAGGGAGACGCGGGCTCACCGCAGCATTTGTCTGCCACACGGTCGTAGGCAGCCCGCGTGCCAGGCAGCACGGCAGAGGTGGTCTGCTGTGCCGCGACGGCGGCCAGCGCCGCCGTGGCAGCGGCAATGCCACGGCTGCAGCCCGCTCCCAGCTCGGCCTCTTTGAGGCGCTGCAGAGAGGACAGCTCCTGCAGGTGACACGGCACAGAGCACATGTCAGTGCATGTATATTGTTTGTGGGAGCTGGGCGGCAGGCAAGGACAGGGCGGGAGGCTTGGTCAGTCAGCAGGCTGGGGAACAACCCAAGGCAGGACCCACTCACCGCCGGACAGTTGCCCTGCGCCGTGCCACACAGGGCGAAGCCCTTCTCGGCCATGCGGCGGCAGGTGCCGGCGAAACCGGCGCCGAACAGCCCCCGCTCTACGCAGCGCAGCTCGGTCGGCGAGGCTGCAGCTGGGTGCAAGCGATCAGGGAAGCCAGCCCTGAGCAGAGAGGCAGACAGGGCAAAGCAGGGCAAGCCGGGGCAAAGCAGGGCGTTGCTTCTTCCCAGCCCAATGCACCGCGGCCCGGCTGCTCCTGCCTCCCACCCCAGCAGGCTTCACCTGCCACCTGCCACCCACCTGCCACCAGCGCCTCAAACACAGCCACGCCCCGCTGCAGGGGGTCCTCCACCTGCGCCGCATCTCGCAGCAGGCCCACCGCCACCACCTCATTCTTGCTCAGCGGGCCCTCATGCTGCACGTGGGATGGGCAGGCGGGCGAGGCGGGTAGAACAACGGAACGCGGGTCGTATGATGGTGGGAGCAAGCAATGAAGCTCAAACATTCCCTTCTGGTCTGCCTTCCCAGCTGCCGGCCCAGCATGAGCACAGCACAGCACCCGCCACACCTGGCGAAGTCGCAGCTTGGCCACCAGGCTGCAAAGCGATGTCCCGCCCAGCCTCTGGAGCGCCAGAAGCTCGCCTCCCTGGCCAGGAGCGGGACCCAGCGATGGCGCGATCTGGCGCAGCAGGTTGCCCCAGTCAGGCGAGGAGTCGTCCTCCTTGCCCTCATTCACGGCTGCCAGCCTGGTGAGCAGGGTCAGTTCACCCTGCTGCTCCGCGCAGCAGCTTGTCAGCTTGTTCTTCATGGCCACCAGAAGCAGCAGGTAGGCCTGCAGCTGCTCGGCCTGCGCTCAGCAGGAGCAGGGCGGGAGGGGGCGGTGTGACAGCCGGGGCGAGGCAGGTTTGCGGGCGAGCTGCTCAACTGGCAAATGGTGCCGGTGCTGAAAGCAGGAGCTGGCTGGGTCTGAAGACCGGCCAGCCGGGCAGCCAGCCAGCCTGGCCGGCAGCTGCCAAACATGCCCAGTGGCGCCTCTCTGTCGTGCTCGACTGAGTCACGTGCAGAGCAGCACTCACGTGGTCGGGGGCGTCGGCAAAAAGCACGGCGTAGGATGCCGTGTGGTGCAGCATGCTGGCCGCCCGGTGGCGCGCCAGCGCATGATCCGCCACATCGTCCCTCAACGCCTCCTCCAGAGCATCAACCTGCAGGGGCGGTGCCAGCTGGTCTTTTGTGGTGCCAGCTGTTTTTATTATATCCTTGTTCTCGCTCTCGAAGGTATTCCCGTTGGCAAGCCAGGCAGCTTTGTGAGGACAAACGCGGCATAGCTGACCGGCTCAGCGCCAATCCAAGCCAATTCCTTCGGGAACGCCTAATAAAATCGCCAAGACTTCGGCACAGGCCTCCCCGGGACCCATTCACTACTAGTGGGGGGTACTGCACTTGGCGCGTCAGGCAGATCAAATAATGGTCTAAAGCTAGACGTTAAAACCGGGAAGTTAAGCCTGTGGAGGCTCTTCCCCACCTTTACCTTTACCTTTAGCTGCATACCTGCTTGATGGCGGTTGATGCGTATCTGTTCAGCAGCGCCGCTTGCAGGGCGACACCCAGCGGGATGCTGCGGGCCGCCTCCCTGTCTTGAGCGATGGTCTGCAGATGGGGCCAGGGCAGCACAGCAGCAGGAATTGGGTGCGCATCGCGGAGGTGCATGCAGGCTGCAAGGCAGGCCTGGAGGGAAACTAGCCTTGCCCACGTGCGGCGCAGGTGGCGCGGCGGCGCACCGGGAGCGCCGCACCGCAGCCCCTCACCTCGCCCATCTCATGCACCCACATCGAGCTGCCCACCAGCAGGTGTCCAGCCTGCCTCAAAATGCCAGCCTGGGCGGGCAGACCATTACTGTCCTTGCACAGGAGGGAGATTGCCTTCCACGCCATCCCCAACCTAGTATCCACGGCGGCGGCAGCGGCGGCGGAGGCTTCCTTCTCCCGCATCTGGTTCTGCAGGCGGCGCGGCGCGGCAGGGGTGAGCAGAGGTGGAGCAGAGAGGAGATGAGGTCGGCAGGCTGCTTCATCGAAACACGGGCGCTCGACGGCAGGTCCAGCGTCAGACACGTGTGCGGCGGTTCCAACGGCGGCGGAGCGGCGGCGCGGCCCATACCGGCTGGCCAGCCACTCACATGCGCTGCAGCGTCCATGGCGCTCCCTGACGATGCGCCCTCGCTGCTTCTAGTCCTGCAGGGGCCGGCAGCACGACGGTTGGTTGAACGTGAGGCCCGGCCGGGGCGCGGCCTGCTCACCCGCAGCTGCTTGCCTGCAGCCTTGGACGCCCCTGCAAGAGCGGCCCAGCCCCATGGCAACGCGCCAGCCGCGAGTGGTTCGGCCACACTCACTCTCGTTCAGCGCTCGCCTCTCCTTTGTAGGTCCCACCTGAAGCCCTTGAGAAGCGAATCAAATTGGCTGGCAAGAGCTGAGGCCTCGAGGACAAGCCCATGAGGGCTCGACAGGTGGACCACAACAGGTGGGTCCCCTGGCTCCTCCTTCTGAAGCTGCTAGCAGAAGTAGCAGCATGGTGGGAACAGCGGGGAAGACGCAGAGGCTGCTGGCAGCGAGGGACCCCAGCCCACCTCCCACAGCGGCAGGCCGCCGCCGTCGCCGCCCCCGCCACCGCGCGGGTCGGCCCTCGGTTGCATGCTTCATGATTCACAGAGCAACATCGCAGCAGCAATGATTACAATTGTAAACATAAAATCTGGAGCAATTGCAATCACTTATGCCCAGCGCTTGCGCAATGGCGACGAAGGCGGCGAGAGACACGCCTCGCCACCGGCGTGTCGCTCTCGTCGGCGGGTGGGTGGGCTGGGGACAGGCGAGCCGCTCCTGCTGCTGGCTCCATCCTCGTGCACGCTGCCACAGCTGGCAGCCTCATCCTGAGGCGCCGCTTTGCCAGCCAGAGCGGCGCCTTGGGCGGGCAGGGTGGGGCGGTACGCCCGTGGGCTGGAGGCGGTAACGCCAGGGCTGCCGCCAGCAGAGAGCAGGGCTGCCTGCGCTGCCGAGCCCTCGGCGCTGCCTGTAGTGCCCGTGGCTGCCTGGGCTGCCGCGCTGCCGCCCCCGTGCTCCTCGTGGGCACGCTCATACCCTGCCCGGTGCAGGCTGGCAAGCAGGGCTCCAAAGACGGTGTCCACTGGTGCTGGCCCCAGCCGCTGGGGCTGGTCTTCGGCAGAAGAAAGGGAGGCAGAGCTGTCGCCAGGGTGAGAGGATTCCGACTGCTGGCATTGGTGCTGGTGCTGGTGGTGCCCTATCGCCGCTGTCGCCTCCTCCTCAGCAGCAGCCTCCGCCTGCCCTTCGAAGCGGGAGACAGCATCCCAGGGCATGGCAGTGGGGCCGCCCGCTGCTGCGCTGCCGGCGCTGGCTGCTGCCGCTCTTGCCTGCCGCTGGGACGCGACGCTCTCATCAGCAGCCCCGCCTGCTTCTTCCAAAGCAGCCAGAGCGTCCGCTGCCCCACTCTCCAGCCTGCCACACCCAGTCGATGCCAGAGCGGCCACCGGGGCTGAGGGGTAACTGCCTGCGCTGTGCCGGCTGGGCAGCTGACCAGCCCGCTGCTGCTGCTGCGCCGGCAGCTGCAGGCTGGCTGCTGAGCTCAGGGCGCCGCTGCGGGGCGCGGGGCGGCCCCCCGGTGGCGGCGCCTGCTGCAGGCTGGTCGCCGTGCTCAGGCTGCCCATTCCTGCAGGAAGAGCTGCACGGCTGGCTGGCTCCCCAGGAGCCAGGGCGGCCGCAGTACCAAAGAGCGATGGCGGCCGTCCTGGTCTGGGGCTTGGGCCGCCCAAGCGGCCCCACTGCCCCTCCTCTGCAGACTCCAGCGCCAGAGGGTTGGTGAACGCGGCAGGGTAGGCGGCGCTGCCGGGCCGCGCGGCGCCCACTGTCCCCGCCGCGGCATGCCGACCGCGACGGGCCGCTGAGGTGGCGGCTGAGGTGGCGCCGGCGCCGGCGCCGTAGCCAACTGCCTCTGCCACCGCGGCGGCGGCCGCAGCGGCCGTGGGCTGAGCGCGGTTCAAGCTGCCGCCGCCAGAGGTGGTCGGCCGCGGCTCCCGCACCGCCACGCCCTCCTCCTGCCGCCGCTCCACCGCCTGCTGGCGCAGCTGCGCCAGAGGGTTGCTGTGCTGCTGCACCGCGGCGGGTTGGTGGCCAGCTGCCGCCTGGCGCTGCTGCTGGCGCTGCAGCAGGAAGCGCTGCACAAGCTCCAGCCCTGCAGCCAAAGGGGCAAGCATGTCTGTGTCATTCCTGCTGCATATTGCGAGGAAACAAGCCGGGGCGCTTTAGTGTCGAGCAAAGCACGGAGCCAGCACAGGCCCAGAGCCAGCACAGGCTCAGAGCCAGAAGCAGCCACCACTGGCACCCACCGCGGCTCAGCTCTCGCAGTTCTGCGCCCGCGTCGGCGTACTGCCGCTGCATGGCGGCTCCGCTCGCCGCTAGGCACTCCAGCAGCTGCATGGCGGAGCGCCACAACAACCACTGTGAGCATCATAGTAGTCCCTTTGGCAGAGAGTGCCAGCAAGGAGGACAGCAAGGGAGTCAAGCAGGCACAGGTTCTTTAACTTTCCCTTGGTGGCAGGGGCGGGCAGCCCACCTGGCGCCGCTCTGCCTGCATGGCAGCTTCGTCGCCGGCCGCCTGCATGCGGCGCAGGTGCTCCTGCGCGGCAGCCAGCAGCCGCGCCTGCTCCCGCTGCGGCTCGCCGCCGGGCTGCAGGGTGGGCGGTCGGCGGCGCAGGCGCTCGGCAGCCGCGGCGGCCTGCTGCTGCAGGCTGGGCGGGGTGCCGCCGGGCCGCTCGTCCTGGCCCTGTGGCGACACGCGGGACAGCTGCCTGCTGCTCAGCATGCGCAGCAGGCTCCTGCTCCTGGCTGAGGGGAAGCTGGGCGCCTGATACAGCCCCCTGCCGGCGGGGCCGCCGCCAGCTGCACCCCCACCAGCAGTGCGCGTGCCTGGCAGCAGGGACAGCAGCCTGGCCAGCAGGGAGGGGCTTCGCCCAGCGGGGGCTGACCCTGACTGTGCCGCCTGGGTGGCGCCGTGAGGCGCAGGCTCCCCACCCGCTGCCCTCACAGCAGCTGCCACCGCCGCTGACAGTTGTTTCTGGTACTTGCTGGGGGAGGCGGAGTGGGCTGGCTGCTGCTTCTGCTGCCCGGCTGGCCCGTCGCTGGCGTCGCCGGGCTCCATACCTGCTGCCGCATGCTTGCCGGTGTCGCCCCCGCCGCTGCTGCTGGCTCTGCCGCTGTCGCTCTCCGGGATTGTGATCAGAGGGGCCGGCATGGGCTGCTGCTGCTGGTCGCCTTTGAAGCTGGACCCCACGCTGCCGCTGCCGAGGCCCGTGGCGGCGAGCGCGGCGGCGGCAGCGGCCGCAAAGCTGGCGCTGCTCCTGCCGCCGCTGCCGCCCCGGCTGCTGCTCCCCAGGTGGCTGTACTTGTGCCGCAAGCTGTCGCGGATGCTCTCACCCGCAGCCTCAGCCCGACCCTCCCCCTCCCCAGCCGTGCTGGTGACGACGCTGTGCAGCTCGGCCGGGCGGCTGTACCGCCTCGGCGGGTGGCCGTACCGCTCCAGCAGCTCTGGGGGCAGCGGCGGCGGCAGGCCTTCGGTGCGCCGCTCCCCAAACCTGCAGGCAGAGAGCAGCGCGGCGGCCAACTCAGCAGCTCATGACATCAACAGTCCCAGCAGACTGGGCAGGGAGGTGTTGATGCGGCATGCTCATCTCGACACGGCAGGCGGGGGGTGGCACGCCCAGGAAGGCGAGCGGGCACCCCCACCCACTCACCGCTGAATGACCGCCTGCGCAGCCGCCCGCACCTCGGGCGGGCTGAGCTGGCCGCCGGCCGCCTGGTTGGCTGCCGACAGCACCAGCGTCAGCCCACCCAGGTCGACCTCATCCCCCGCCACCTCCATGACAAGCCTCCCCTCCTCCTCCTCCTCCTCCTCTGCCGCCTGGCGCTCCTGCTGCTCCTGCTCCCCCTCGGCAGCAGAGCCGGGCGCAGCGGGCAGCCGCAGCAGCCAGCTGAGGCTGCGCCCCGCCCCGCTGCTGCTCAGCCAGTGCGCCAGGCGGCCGCTGGGGCCGGGGGCGGGCGTCGCCCGCCGCCCGCTGCCGCGCCGAGAGAAGAGGCGGCTGAGGCGGCTGCCGCGCCTGGAAGGGCCGCCGCTGGTCCCAGCAGCAGCAGGCAGCGCCACACGCTGCCACACCTCCAGAAGCTCGGCGTTGGAGGGAGCCCCCTGGGCCACCACCTGCACAACAGGAGCACATGCATGTGAAGGGGGGACTTGCCTCAAGCCATAGGTCTCGGTTGGTGCCTGCAAGGCTGGAGGCAGCCGCCTGCCAGCTGCGAGCTGCCCGGCGGGGCCGGCGGTGCGCCCTGCGCTGCCGGGACATGCTGTGCTCGGAAGTCTGCCTCCCAGGCAGTGGGGACAGAGTGTCCTGGGCTTCAAGCTCAGGAGTCTTCTGGACTTCGAGCTCAGCTGCAAGGAAAGCTAGGAGGTTCAGAGTGGGAGGGAGTTCCAGGCTGGCGCTGACCTGGCCCCGCTCCCGCAGCAGCTGCGCCACGTCAGCGGCAATGCCGGGCACCTCCCCCGCCTCGCGCTTCTGCCTGCTGAACTCCTGCAGTTAGGCGGGGCCCGGCAGAGGGATGGGCTGGCGCATGAGCGAGATGGATGGGCGAGTGGGGCAGCCTGGCAGCCTGCCCTGAGGTCTGTGGGTGGCTGAGACACGGAGCGTGAAAGGCGCTTTTCGCAGGTGCCGCCGCGTACAAGGACGCGAGCTCGCCGCCACACAGACGGCCCCGCGCCGCTTGCCTGGAGCAGCACCGCCAGCACAAACTGGCGCAGGATGAAGAGGGAGAGGACGGGCAGCAGGACCACCCACAGCACCGACGTGAAGGACTGCAGGGGCCCAGCGAGCAGGGGAGGCCAGCGGGCACAGCAGGCTGTGGTATTGAGTCACGCGGCGGTCTGAAGCAGTCCAGCTGCACCCTCCGCTGGCAGCGTGCAACCCCCCTTGCCCATGCATGCCACCCGCTGTTGTGGCTGCTCAGGGCAATCCCAATTGGGCCTTGCAAGCTCGCCTGCATGGCGTTGAGCTGGGCCGAGCCGCCCGCCTCCCGCACCGCCCTCACAATGTCGCGCTGGTCGCCCACCAGAAAGCCCTCGTACACGGCTGCGGCAGCATGGATCAGGCAGGCAGGCAGGCAGGCAGGCAGGCAAGCAGGCAGGCGGGCAGGCATCAGGTGCAGCACAGCATGTGGAAGCACATCCAGTGCTGGCTGGGTGACCCGGAAGCTGTGGGCCCTGGCCCCCGCCGGGGAGCGCTTGCCGTGCCAAGCACCGCAGCAGCAGCAGTCCTCGAGGGATGCGGCCCTCACCTCTCAGGGCGGTGGGGAGGTCTGACAGGGTGGGCGACAGTGAGCCAAGCGCCAGCACCCCCGCCGCCACCAGCAGGGTCGTGACCAGGCCGATGAGAAGGAGCAGGTGGGCCAGCACGCCGGCAGACTGCGTGCGGGGTTGGGGTGGCGGGGAGTCGCAGGGGCGTGTGAGAGCTCTGCTGGGGGCAGCGCTGTTGCCCAGCAAGCGGCCAGGTTCAGCTGGCAGCCAAAGCAGTTCAGCTGGCAGCCAACGCAGGCAGACAGGGTCAGGCTGCCAAGGCAAGGCCAGGCAGGGCGAGGCAGCGGTGGCGGCGCCTCGCCCGGGCGATGGTGCGCGTGATGACGGACAGGCGGCGCTGGGCGGTCAGCGACATCATCAGGCGAAGCACCAGCAGCATCAGCGCCAGGCCTGCGCCGGGAGCGGCAGCACGCGGCAGGGGAGAGTGGCAGGATGGAGGAACAGCAGCGTGTCCACCCGCCCATCTCCAGCCCTCTGGCTGGCGGCTGCCGTGCACGCGCATGTGCCCCCCCGATGCAGTCCCGGGCAGCTACGAAGCTAACATGCATACCCACCCTGCACGCTGCTGTAGACAGTAGTGAGGGTGTTGATGGCGTCGATGCGGGACAGCGCTGCGGCGAACTCCTCGAAGCCTGCAGGCAGCGCCGCAGGAGCATGCGGGGCGGGGCAGGGGTTACAGAGCATGCACGGCCCAGCGTTGGGCGTGTGTCCCTAACAGAAGCAGGGGAGTGCGCGACAAGCAGGTTGCTAATCCAATCGGGCCGGCCCCTCTCACCCTGGTCTGCCGCCGGCAACATCCAGCGGCCCGGCCCGCCCGGCACGGTGGCCGCCGCCAGCGCGGCCGCCGCTGCCGGGTCGGCCGCCGCCAGAGCCGCCGCCGCCGCCGCTGCCGCGGCTGTGCCCGGGTCGGCGCGCCTCGTGAGCAGTAGGTTTGCCTTTGCGTGGCTGGCTGCGTCGTACAGGCCGTAGTCTGGCTTTAGCTCCAGGCGCTGCTGCACGCCAATGCTTGCTGCCAGCAGTGCCAGGCCAACAATCATGAGGGCTGTGGTCACCACATCCAGCAGCACCAGTCGGTCTGACACGGCAGCCAGCAGCAGGCGGGACGACAGCAGCTGCGGGGCACGGCGCTGGTCCTGCTGCCGCCCCTGCCTGCGACTCAGGCGCAGCCAGCTGCTGCCGGCCCTGCTTCTGGTGGTGCGTGAGGGGCCTGCCAAGCCAGGAGATAGCTGGTGCTGCTGCCGCTGCTGCTGCAGGCGCAGCTTGCGGCGCAGGCGGCGCAGCAGGCTGGCGGCGCGCGCCGCCACCAGCGCCGCCAGTAGCAGGTCTGCCGCCAGGCGCTGGCGGCTGCTGCCGCTGTGGCGCAGGGTGGCGGCGCTGTATCTGGGGATGGATAGGGCGGAGGCCCAGGCATCCAGCGCGATGCGGCCGGCGGGCTGCCACCTGATGCGAGCCCTAAAGTACCCCAGAACGTCCAGGGCTGCGTTGCAGGTGAGCAGGCGGGCGTCCAGGCTGGCGGAGCGGCGGGAGTCGAGGAAGGCGCCGTCACGCAGGTGGCGCAGCACGCGGGACGCGCCCTCCTGCAGGCCCGCAGCGCGTGGGCGAGGCAAACGGATGCTTTGCGGAGCATGGATGAGGAGCGAGAGAGGATCGGGGGAGCAGAGCAGGCAGACCGCTTGTGCCGTTGCAAGGTGGTGGCAGGGCTGCCTCCCACGCTGCGGTACGGTACGGCATGCAGGCGAGGGAGCCTGCTCATGAGGGCGCCTCTGCCAGCTTCACCTGGGACAGGGTGCTCTCCAGTACCAGCGGGAAGCCGGCCGGAAGGTGCGGCGGCGCGCGCGGCTGGAAGCCGTACGGCTGGCGGTTGCGGTTCAGGTGGCCGGAGGCGGGGCTGGCATTGTAGTAGAGGCCTGGGGAGGGCGGCAGCAGCAGCAGGGGTGGGTCACACTGGTTTGGAAGGAGGGAGGCGAGGAGGCACCCCACCCCTGCGAGCCTCCGCCTGCCACGCCCATCGACCGCCACCCACCAAGGCTGTATGTGAGAGGGGCGTAGTACAGGGGGCTGCTCTCAAGGATTGCTGGGTCTATCCCAAAGGGCAGCGGCAGGCCCCCAGAGGCGGTGCTGTTGGTGGTGGTGCTGTCGGTGTCGCCGCCGACGGCGGGGCTCCCGGCCATCACTTCCAGCTGGTCTCGAGCAGCGGCCGCCTGCAGGCAACAAACCAGAGAGCATCTGCATAAGCGTCCTCTGGGAAACGCTGCTGCTTGCCAGCACCGTCACAGCTCACCTGCGGCGCTTCTGCAGCCTGGCACTCGAACCGCAGGTTGGCAAACCGGCCGGAGCAGTCGAGCGGAGGCTGGCCGCCCGGGTCGGGCTGGCGGCGCTGCTGGTGCAGGAACAGACCGCCGACGATGAGGTTGCTGCCGCGGTTGCCTGCGGCGCAAGCAAAAAGAGGCAGAGGCATGAGCAAGGCTGGCCGTACAGTGCAGCAGGTGGCAGCAGCAGGACAGGCTACACCAGCTGCTGGCCCAACAGCTGGTGAGCGGTCCGGGCCGTCTGCTCACCAACATACTGCCGCCGCTTGCTGGCGCTGCCGCCGTCTGCGCCGACCGCGCTGCTGCTGCTGCTGTTGCAGCCGTCGCCGGTGTGGGTGTCCACGCAGAGGGCCAGCCGGCTGCCGCCGCTGCCACTGCCCTGCTGCTGGCAGTACTGAGACTGGCTGGCATAGTCAGCGAGTAGGCCTGCCCTGCACAGGTAGACATGGAGCAAGGGGCTGGCGTGTGCAAATGCTGAAAGCCCCACACCATCCAGGCTGGCCCCGCCCTTCAGGGGATGCCCCAACAGTCCCCGGCAGCCACTGAACGCCACACGGCATGCATGCGGCAGCCCTTGCCACCCTTGTGGCTAGCCAAGCCCTTGCCAGCCAGCCCTGCCTGAAGAGGTTGATGTCGGACAAGCCGCTGAGGGCTGTGTACTGCCCCTGCTGGCCGCCGCTGACGGCGGCGATGATGGGCAGGCCCAGCAGCGGGACAGAGGTCTGCAGCGAGGCAGCCACGGCATGGAGGTCGTGCAGGGAGACCTGCACGGGAGGTGGTGTGTTGCTTGTGTGGGCTTACAGTCTGGTTTCAGAAGGAACAAGCTTGCAGCACAGGCTTTGTTGAGTGCGATGGAGGCGGGAGGCTGCGCGGGTGGCGGCGCCGGCAGAGGGCGTGCACGCGTCAATGATATGTGGCATGCTGCTTTGCGGAGCCGCACTGGCGGCACACTCTAATGCCAGCCGGGGTGTTGAGTATTGGATTGAGGTTTGCTCCAGCTGACGGCCAGGTGGCACTGGCCGCTCCACTCGGGCGGCCTGCCGCCAGCACCTTGCTGCCTGCCGCATGCAGTCGCCACAGCCAGCCAGTCGAGCAAGCGTCTGGGATGCCACTGGCAGTGGCGCCGCCAGGCGCACGCTCGAGTTGGCGAGCGTGTTGGATGCATGCGGATGCTGCTTGACGAGGCTCAATGGGCTTGCCTGGATACTGGCCATCTCACCGACATGTGCCGAATGGAGACCCAACGCGCTGGGCTTGCCCTTGCGCCCTGTGCTTGCGCTCGAAGCGGCAGAGCATGGGTGGGCGCCGGGGCTACTGCTGCAACGACGCGCATCAGCCTCAGGGCCCACCTCTTTTTCTCCGGCCTCAGACCACAAGGACAGCAACGCCAACAGTAGGCAGAGCTCGGTGTCGCTGAGCACTTTCACCGCTGCCTGCGATGCTGCGGCTTAGAGGCATTTTGCGGGGTGCAAGGCGCTGCCTTATGGCACAAAGGGGCCCTCGCTCGCCCCCCGGCTGCCCTGCGTGCCCGCAGGTGTGCCGCTGGTGCGAACTGCTGCGGTTCGCCTCGGCAGCGGCACCTGGCAGGGATTATATACAACAGCGTTGCCTGCGGCTGGACGGCCTTGCACACCCAGTTGGCTACTGCCTTGGCCAGTTTAAGGCCTAGGAAACGGGCCCACGTCACCACCTTGCTGATCACCAGGTTATTAAAGCTGATGTTTGCTGCGATGCAGTGCTGCCACAGTAAGATGCAGGCCAGTACGGCGCCAAAGGTGAGCATTGACCCAGCTGACCGGCTGTGCCAAACTTCCCATGTTGTTCGACGTGCTTCGTTAACGCGCCCGGGTACTCTGACTGGCTGCTGCTTGCAACGCCAGGCTCTGCCACCACTGAGCTGTTGCCATTAAAAAAGGTAAAGGTAAAGGTGGGGAAGAGCCTCCACAAGCTTCACTTCCCGGTTTTAACGTCTAGCTTTAGACCATTATTTGATCTGCCCGACGCGCCAAGTGCAGTACCCCCCACTAGTAGTGAATGGGTCCCGGGGAGGCCTGTGCCGAAGCCTTGGCGATTCTATTAGGCGTTCCCGAAGGAATTGGCTTGGATTGGCGCTGAGCCGGTCAGCTATGCCGCGTTTGTCCTCACAAAGTTTCGACATGGGAGGAATCGAACCTGTGCCCTCTCGGAGGGTTTAGACACTAGCTCCAGCGCCTTCAAAGAAGGCCTTTCTTAGCCGCGGCCTAAGGTCAGCATGAGCCTGCTAAGGCTCATGCTGACCGGTGGGTGTGTGGCAGCAAATCTGTGCGCTCCACGAGCAGGTAATGGCAACAGCTCAGTGGTGGCAGAGCCTGGCGTTGCAAGCAGCAGCCAGTCAGAGTACCCGGGCGCGTTAACGAAGCACGTCGAACAACATGGGAAGTTTGGCACAGCCGGTCAGCTGGGTCAATGCTCACCTTTGGCGCCGTACTGGCCTGCATCTTACTGTGGCAGCACTGCATCGCAGCAAACATCAGCTTTAATAACCTGGTGATCAGCAAGGTGGTGACGTGGGCCCGTTTCCTAGGCCTTAAACTGGCCAAGGCAGTAGCCAACTGGGTGTGCAAGGCCGTCCAGCCGCAGGCAACGCTGTCGTACATAATCCCTCGCGTGGCCACCGGCAGGCAAGAGCAATGTCCCACGCTGCACTTGGAGAAGGATGCTCGGAGCGGCCTAATCCATCATACGCCACCCCTTCACACGTATGATGATGTTGCAACACCCAATTCTGCCTTCGCCATGCATGCCCCCAAAAACAGCGATACCCCTGCAGCAGGCACAGCCCATCCCCGCCCCAGCCCTGGCAAAGGCGCGGCCCACCTGGTTGGCATCGTACGCCGAGACAAAGCCGCCCCAGGCAGCCGCCACGGCAGCCAGCTGCCGCCCGGAGTCGACTAGGTTGGCGGTGGCGGCCAGCGACGCGCGCAGCGCCTGCAGCCGGCGGTCGGCGCCGTTGAGCGCGGTGAGCACTGCGGGGCAAGCGGTACAGGCAATACATGCGAGCCTGAAATCCTGCCAGGTATGCAGGGCGTTGTGTTCACAGGCAAGATGTGCTGGCAAAACTGCCATGCTGGCAGCCAGCTCAGCGCCCACCTGGCAGCCAGCTCAGCGCCTGGAAGCTGACCGGCGGTGTGAAGGCCTCGACCGCGGCCGCGGCGGCGGGGGGGCTGCATCTGAAGCTGCCGCCCGCGCTGCCTAGAGCAGCGGTGACAGGGCTGCTGGCCAGCACCCCCGCCAGCGCGGCACAGATGGCGGCAGCAGACTGTTGGAGGCTGGAGGCAAACACGGCGTCGATGGGCTGGAGGGACAGCTGGCCGGCAGCTGCCGGCGGCAGCTCAGGGGCCGACGCCCCAGCATAGAGCAGCGGGTCGGGGCTGAGGGCATCCAGAGAAAATGCCAGCTGCAGAGCTGGGGCGGGCTGTCCAGCGGCAGGCAGTGGGCCCCTGGCCTGGGCCATGCGCCGCCGCCGCTGCCACTGCTGGCTGATCAGCTGCGCTGCGCCTGCCGCCGCCACCGCTGCCGGCGAGCCTGCCAGGCCTGCTGTGCCTGCTGTGGCGGCCGCCGCAGATGCGCCGTCGGTGGCGGCCGCCGTCACATCCAGCCGGTGCCACGTCAGCGCAGGCGCCAGGCTGGCGTTGAAGGCTGCCGCCAGCTGCTGCTGCAGGGCGGCGTCCTGGGCCACGGCTGCAGCCGCCGCCGCCGCCGCCTCTGCTGCGGCCTCTGGCGTGGCAAAGGCGTCTGGCGGAGCAAACAGGCTGACCGCGGCCTGCATGCGGAACCGCTGCACCAGCAGCAGGCGCAGCTGGGCGGTGGCAGAGGCGCCCGCATCATCCAGGACTGCGGCAGGAGGAGGCAGGGAGGGAGGGCAAACCCAATGTTGTGTGAAGGCTGGCTGCGGGAGGCAGCCACGTTGATGTGCTTCCAGAGCGCGGCCTGCTGACACCTAGACCTCAGCGGCAGCTGGGCGGCGGCAGCTGGGAATCATCAGGAGCAGTGCAGCCGGCATCAGCAGCGCACAGGAAGCTAGCAGTACGAGCCGGGGTGGGCACCTGTGAAGTTGAGGGTGTAGCTGCCCGGCAGGCACCGCCCCGCCTCGGCCGCCCGCAGGTCGCAGGGCCAGCACAGCCCGCCCCCGCCGGCGCTGCCGCCGCCGTCTGCGCCGGCCCCGGTGGCGGCTGTGGCAGCCGGGGTGGCGGTACTGGTGGCAGTACTGGTACAGGTGGCATCTGTGACGGAGATTTCTGGGGAGAGGTCGGCTCCCTGTGGGCAAAGGGCAGGCAGAGGCACAGGCCAGGTCTTAGCTGGCCTCGTGGATACATGGCACGCTGAGTCCGATGAGGGGCGGCACAGAGAGTCCCGCCATGGCTGGGACCTGTGTCCCGACACGCCCCCTACCGAGAGCAGCAGCAGCAGCAGAGAACAGGGGCCCTGCAGCAGAGCTCACCGAAGCGTCATACGCCACCGCTCGGCAGCCCCCGCCGCCGGCGTCTGCGGCGCTGGCGCAGGGCAGCAGGCTGCGCCCCGGGGGCTGGCCGTAGCTCATGACCACAATCTGTTGCTGCTGCTGCTGCTGCAGGGCAGGCTGGGGCCCGGACGGCGGCGGCGGCGGCCCTGCCGGCGCCTGCTGCACAAAGCGCACCACGGGCCCCTGCTGCGGCAGCAGGCTGGCCAGCAGGGCACAGGGTATGCCGCTGCAGAGCACCCGGCCTGCCGTGCTGGCGGGGCAGGCATACAGGCCCGCGGCACAGGGCGGTGTGATGACCAGAGTGCGGCTGACGCTGGCGTTCAGGGCCGGCTGGTCGGCGCCCCACACCACAAACGGCACCTGCGGGAGGAGAGGGAGGGGGCGCGGGCTGCCCTCATGTGCTCATGTGTGCAATTGCAGATGGAGGGCTCCCTCTTTGAAAACACAAGCATGCACACACACACACACGCGTGCACACCCCCGCGTGCATGCGCAATCTCACACACACACACACGGGCACGCGCGCGCATGCGCTCACAGACACGCGTGCACGCGAACACACACACAAGCATGCTTGCCTGGATGACGGTGCCGACCGGCTGGGAGGTGTCGATGTCGCAGGAGGCCACGCCCCGGGCGCCGAACAGGGCCTGCACGCGCTGCCAGCACAGCACGTCCTCAGCACAGCAGATCCACGCTTCGCTCACGGGAAAGTCTGGACTGACGCTGCACCGAATCATCACTGTATGTGTGCATCACTCTATGTTTGTGTTGCGGAAGGTCAGCCGGCCCCCACCCCACCTGCGGGCACCTCCTGCTGCCCAGGCAGGAGGCCGGCGGGCAGGCCAGCACATCCCCCGTCAGGTTGGCGCCAGCGGCGCCATCGGAGCCGGCCGCCGCCGCCGCAACGACACCCAGCTCGCAAGGCAGATCGGCTGTGGGTGCCTGCCCTGCTGCGCACGCTGCGTACAGCGTGCCCTGGCGGATGCTGACCGCGGCAGGCAGCGCGACGGTGGTGACCAGCCGGATGGTGGGAGGCTGGGCTGCCTGCACCTGCGGCTGTGCCGCGGCAGCGCCGCCCAGGCCGGCGGACAGGTCTGCAAGGCAGACACCGCCCTCACTGCATGTGACCTGCAAACGACGGCAGAGGGCGCAGGGCAGCATCGAGGGGGCTGGGGGAGCAGCTTTGCAGATTTGGACAGTTGTGGCGCAGCGCAGTGCACAGGGAGGCAGGTGGCGCCCCTTTGTGGCAGTGGCTGTGCGGTCCAAGCTCAACCTTCAGCGCCGAATCCCCCACCTGGTCTGCGCAGCGCTGCTCCCCCGCGCCGCACCGCTGCTGCACCAGCAGGGTGCGGTTGGCGGCGGCATCGCGGCCCAGCGAGTCCCGCACGCTAAAGGGGATGATGAGGCGACCGGGCGAGGCGGTGCTGATGTTGCAGCCCGCCAGGCCTGCAGGCCGAAGGACGGTTGGACGGTTGGCAGGTGCAGGGAAGGTGCATGGAGCAGGAGCGGGCGCCTGGTGTGGCGGTGTCGACAGGGAGGCCAGCAGGCACCCTGTGCCAGCCTGGGGAGCCCTGCAAGCGGGGCGGCAGCCCACCTGAGGCAGCAATTAGGAAGCGAGTGCCGCCAGTGCTGCAGGCTTCCACGTACGGGGTCAGGCTGCCGTCCTGCTGCTGCCAGGCGGTGGCGCCCCTGCACGCAGGCATTGGAATGGCGGCGTATGCGGGGCATTGCGGCCGGCAGCAACACAGGGCGCATACCAGGCGAGCTCTGCCCCGTCCAGGCAGCTCTGCTCCATGCCACCCCACCTGTCGCACAGCAGGTCGGCCGGTGGGCTGGCAGGGCAGGCGGCGTACGGCTGCCCTGCCTCCACATACACTGCTGCAGGCCCCACAAGCTGGATCTGCGGCAGCGGCGGGGCGGCGGCACTGCCTGCGGCAGCCGCGGCGCCCGCCGGAGGGCCAAGGCACATGCCGCGAGTGCTGCAGTACGGCTTGGTTGTACCGCCGCCGCCGCCGCCGCCGCCGCCGCCGCCGGTCGCAGCCGCCAGGGTGCTGGTACCGCTGCAGACGCCCTCGCCCCGCGGGCACACCACCACCACACGGCGCTGCTTCGGTACCGCCTGGTTGCCGGCTGCGTCGGCAGCAGAGTAGGACACGACAAAGGGCTGGGCGGGCGGGGTGGGCGCGGAGGTGTCCACGGCTGCGGCGCCGAATGAGCTGGCACCAGCTGTCACGTTGCCATCGGCGGCGTCCCAGGCGCTCATATTGTCGCGAAAGGCGCAGCCTGCGGGAGGGCCGCGGCGGCGGCAGCAGGCAGGGGCGGGGCAAACGCTTGAGGGCGAACACATGGGAGGCCTTCTCTTGGTGCATGGCATAGGCATGCTGGTGCAATGGCCGGGCGGCTACCTCTCGCTTAGTGGGAAGAAAGCGAGAGAAGAAAGGGAAGAAAGCATCATGCTTCTCACCCACAGGCACCGTCGTCAGCACCACCTCTGTGCCGCCCGCGGTCGCTGCGCGGCTGTTGGAGGCCGTGCCTCCGCTGCTGCAGCTGGGCATCCCCCACAGTGATGACCGGCGGCGCTGTGTCGACAGCGCCCGCGCCGGGGGACGCGGCGGCACCGCCGGTGGCGCCGCCGCCGCCGCTGGGCGCCTCCGGGGATGCCGCCAGCGAGGGGCAGGGCTTGCCGGCGGCCAGGCACACCCTGCAGGCACAAGAAGCCTCTGCCAGTGAGAACACCTCCTCCCGCAGCGTTCCAATGCCAGCCATCCAGCTTGTAATAGGCAGAGGCAGGCGCATGCTCCACCTCCACCCCACAGACCCCCACCCAGAACCACACCCACATCCACACTCACACACAAACACCCACCCACCCATCTACCCACCCACCCACCCTCGCACCACACCCACACCCACTCCCACACCCACCCGAAGCTGCTGCAGGCGCAGCTGGCGAGGCAGAGGCGCTCGGGCGGCTGGCAGGGGCTGAGCACCTCCACCGCCTGGCTGGCCGCCGCCACGTTGCCCGCGCGGTCCGCTGCCAGATAGTGGATGGTGTGGTTGCCCTCCTGCCAGACCAGGGGAGGTAGAAATTAAAAAAACCACTGCTGCGCGACAGGCTGCGCACTGCTCACTCCACGACCGGGAGCGCGCAGCCGACTGCTGGCTGCCTGAGGCTGTGTGCCCCCTCGCCGCGCACAAGGCGCGCAGCGCAGCGGGCGGCGATGCTGGCGCCGAGGTGTTGCTCGCCTGGCTGGTGTTGATCGCCTGCAGGCCGGTGACGTTGATGGCGGTGACGGCGCCGTCAACGTCGTCCACCGCCGTGGCGCCAAAGCCTGCGTCGTGCGCCGAGTGCCACGTCAGCACCATGCCACGTCAGCAGCATGTCACATCAGCGCAGTTCTCCCACATCATGCCGCCGTCAGAGCCTGCTTTGGGTCCCGGTAGGCTTGCAGGCCCCAGCCGCCCCATACCTCCGTCCCGCAGCACGCCCCTGCCGCCCACCTGCCGCCTCCTGCACCAGCTGCCCCTGCTGCACCCGCAGCGTGGGCCCGCCCAGCAGGCGCAGCACGGGAGGGGCGGCGTCGGCCACCGGCGGGGCGGGCACAAACCTGCGGGCAGCCAGGCAGCCAGCGAGGGAAGCTGACGGGAAGCTTCCACACCTACAGCCCTGTGGTCCCGTGCTGCACTTCCCTGATCCAAACCATTCCATGAACACACCGCCAGGCAGAGAGCCTGAGGGAAGCTCACTTGTCTGTGGGGCTGGGCACCTCGGGCACCACCACCACCGCGGCAGCATC